GATCGTTATGCATAATTTTATCTGTGACAAACTAAGGAGCATTGAGGATTTTGGATTGAATACGAGAGGAATTCTATGGCTTAGTGGAGCCCAAAAGCTCAAATCTGTATGAACTTAAACTTAATTTTCATTTTTTTATGACCTTAATGTACCATATGTTTCCGATTTAGCTCAATCCAGATACCTCTCCTTTCATAATAAACTTCTGAACCATCCGAACCCTCTCGTTTCCAACCTTGCTTCCTCTTCTATTCCTGATAACCCTCCGAGGCGTCTGAAAAGAAGATGGCCTCGGGACCTTCTAATATAGAAATATAATTGGAGTGCTACCAATGGGTAGTTTCTCCTCATGTTGTACATGTCATATTACTTGTTCATATTTACTTGTTGTATTTATTATTAATTACAGTTGTAAATTTCGTTAATTAAAATAAATAAATAAAAATGTTCAGTTTTAGAATTCATTGTATTAATTCTAAAATATTTTCCTTACATTTTTTGTTTTATATAACTTACATATCCTATATTTTCTATTCATTAAGTATTTAATTTTAAATTACTTATGACTATGTTCGTTTCATGCATAAATTGATTAATTAAGATTCATTTAGCTTAATCTGTATTTGAAATAAATTATATCCAGAACTGCCAAGCTAATAAAGACGATCTTAAAAATATGGTTTCCATTGAAACAAGTCATAAATTTCCTAATACAGTTTCATACCAATGTCATTTTTTTATCTTTCTGCTGATTGAGACAATCAACCGAGTTGATCCAGTTTGACGTTTATAATTGCTGCCTCTCGATTTATCTTTTTATTCACAGTAAAATATATAGTGGGGAAAAGTATCGCGATCGTTTTTTTTTTTTTTTTTTTTTTTTTACATAAATGCTCTAAATTTCCTACAAATTATTAAAGACCCATTACCTGATTATAGTAAGGCCTATTTGGGATTTAGCCATCGAATTCCTCTCGTATCCAATTCTTACGATCCACAATCCTTCGCAAAATATTAAATGTTCTCTACTTTGTACTATAATGACCTTGATTATCGCTCATCCCAATCCAAATATCTATCCTTCCATAATAAACTTCAGGCCCACCGATATCGAGTGCCAATGCCAACTTTATCAAATCCTGTGCGACACCCGGATGGTTAGGAATTATTTTATCGTCCTTCAGTACGTCAATCAATCTTTTGTATATATTTATTTTTAAATTAGTCTTCTAGTCCGCCCAATTAGTCTTCTACCTTCTCTATCTAAAGTATTCGAAAAAATTCTGTTTCGGCGTTTGAATTCACTTTTATATCATTCCAAATTTCCAGTACGGGTTCAAACAGCATCATTCGACTATTCAGCAATGTTACCGCCTTGTAGATTACATATCTTTCTCGCTAGAATCAAAATTGTACTGTCCTGGCGTTTTTCATGGCATGAGTCAGGCTTTTGATTGAATATGGCAGGATGGTTTGTTACATAAATTAAAAACGATTATTCCTCCGAAGTATTACTTAATTTTACTGTCATATCTAAAAGATAGATTTTTTCGTGTGAAAATAGGGACTGAGTTTTCTGCCATCAAACAAATAAAAGCAGGAGTACCTCAAGGCAGTGTCTTGGGTCCAACACTGTTCAGACATCCCACAACATTCTGAAACACTGTTGGCTACATTTGCTGTTGACTCGGCAATATTAACATCTAACAAGGATGCAGCTAAGGCTTCCCAGGTACTTCAAGAACACCTAGACGACATAGCTTGTTGTGCTAAATGGTGGAGAATAAAAATGAACGAGTCTAAGAGCCAATTTGTTTCATTTACACCTAAACATGACTCTTGTCTTCCAGTGTTCTTTAATAATATTGCTCTAACACCTTCAAAAACTGTACGATATTTGGGTCTCCTCTTGGACAAACGACTGACATGGACATATCACATACAACGAAAAAGAAAAGAACTTAATCAGCGATACGGACTTCTTTCTAGGCTACTTGACAGACGTTCTAAATTATCTGTGACTAATAAATTAACTATCTACAAAGTCCTCATTAAACCACTTTAGACGTATGGGATCGAACTATGGAGAACAGCAAAGAAATCAAATATAAAAATCATCCAGTCATTCCAGTCAAAAGTCATTCGGAAAATTGTAGACGCACCCTTTTATGTTTCAAACCTCACTTTACACACTGACCTTAACATTCCTTTCATCATGGCAACTGCCACTGACCGCTTTAATAATTTTCATGACAGACTGACTCTAAATTCCAATCCACTTACTCAAGCTCTATCTACTGCCACAAATCCGTATAATCCGCCCAGAAGACTGCTGAGGCGCTGGCCAAGAGACATTGCATTGAGCTACTTGATGTATTATCTTTTTTTTTTTGTGTGTGTGTGTTATTATGTTATTATGTATGAGTTACTATGTGTTATTTTACTATTGTTTTTTTTTTTAATTTTTGTTTTGTTATTACTATTACCGAGGTAGATGGCAAATTTATTGTGAGCCAGGAATATGTAGAACTAATAAATAATGAATATATTTATTTTTAGAAAACTTTGGAATATATTGAAAGCAGACTGATAGGTCGGTAGTACGAGGGATTGAAAATGTCCTGTCCTTTTGTATATGATTTTGATATATAAATATTCAGCATACAATTATGTATTATCAAAAGGATCACTAGTGATATGCGTATACTAGGGCCTCGGCAGACATTAGCTTGTAACCTGGGGCTTTTCTTTTCAAGTAAATATTTAATTTGTTGTGAAGGAGTGAAACGAAAGAAGCAGTCGTAAACTTCTTATATTTTTAGCTACTCTATTCGCGCACCGACTTTCTGTTGAACTTCATAATTTAGACTTAGAATACCTTATATATTTGAAAACTCGAATTCTTTTCACGATCGCAATAACATCCTATTACTATATATTTTATACATGGGTAAGTTAAGGTAAAAATGGGCTCTCTTACTTCGCTTTTCGGTTTTCAACTCCTGTACAAAGATGCCATTGTTTTCCCAACATCGCATGCATAACTTTTGACTCATGTTTTCTAAATTAGTTTATCTTCGCTTCAACCTAGAACCTCATTTCCACTATACCATCTTAGACTCTTAGAACATATCTTAAAGCTGCGATATCTGAAGTTGTATTTCTAGACTAAAATGATATATTATTTTTGAATTTGTCGAAATTAAAAAAAAATTTGGCGGGCGCAAAACACAACTTTCACTTACCGCTCTACTTTGAATAGAAATTATTTTCTGGCAATGCTGAGCTATTATAAAATTTTTGAAGTGCATTTTAAACGGAGCTAAAGCTTAAAGATAACAAGTCATTAAGACTATTATAATTACAAAATGTCTATTTATTATATCGACGATAGGCAATAAAAATCTAATCACTCCATCGGCTTTTATAAACCACACACAATTTTCTTTGCTTTTAAAAAACACAGAATGACTAAATCCAATTTCAACATTTTTTAGTGATATTTTTAGTTTTTTTTTAAATAAATGGCCGATAGATACCTAATTATTTAAATTTCTTCGGTACATCCAGTCTCATGTGTCCCACCTTTACGACGAGTTAAAGTGGCTCTTCCCTTCTTTCCGCAGACAATATTTCCTTGGATCTTTCCTGTTACAGACGACAACACCCGACACCCTTCCTACATCTTCAGTTCAAACCCGTGGTCCACTCCCAGAAAACAAAATCCCGTGTTTCCGACCTTTATATCCCTTCCCATAGGACTAAGACATTTGAATATTCCTTTATTGCCCGATCCACAGCCTTCTGGAATTCCCTGCCATCTGATACCCGCCATGCCTCTTCCACATCCCAAAATGACGTTGTACAATGAAATAAATATTGTGGAACAGATTTTAACTGAGGTGAATGGTTGTTGAAATTGTTTTAATTTTAAAAATCAATCCATGTTTATATACATTTGTGATCGGGGCCCCAAGATACTCCCATGTTTCTCACCACTACGCTGAGTTAAAGTGGCTTTTCCCCTCCTTCCGAAGACAATATTTCCTAGGTACTTTCCTCTACCAAATCATTAACAACCATCGTCCTTCTTACGCCTACAATCTTCTAACCTTTACATGCCTTTTCACAGATCTGCCTCATTCCAAAATTCCATTATTGTTCGCTCTGTCAATTTCTGGGATTCCCTCCCTATCAAAATTCGACATTCTCTATCCATATCCACATTCAAAACCCTCCTATTCCAATTCCTATCCCAAAAACAGTCAGATAGTTGCTAACCATTCGAGCTGATTTTAATAGAGAATTTGATACATTTTTATTTTTTAATTCTTTATTACTTTCTTAAAAGTATACTGGTCTATAAGTGCAAATATATTTAAGTGTCTTGTCATAGTATTAATGGTTTTGTATATAGTTTAGTTTGTTTTGTATATAGAATTTTTACGCTATATTTTTTTTCGATTGATTTTATTTTGGCCAGATGTAATATTTTAATTTTGTTCTATTTTGTTATTCTCAAGGGACTGTGTCCCAGAATAAAGTTATTTTTCTATTCTATTCTATTTTATATTATTTTGTTATTTATTTTTTACCTGATTTCTGTTTTGTTTTTTGTTTCATTTAAATAGTGCTTGTTTTTTTCAAAATAGTGTTATTTTTTATTTGTTTTAATATACTTTTACTGAGTATACTGTATATATTCTTTAATGTTGATTAATGTAATTTTTTTCCAGATGTAGTTTTTATTTTTTTGTTCATATCTGTTATTCATAAGGTACCTCATCCCAGAATACAGTTTATTTTCTATCTATCTATATTCTCTTCATCTTGTGCAATTAGTATCGTTTATCGGCGAATAACAAATGGCCTTGTTTCTTTTTTCTTAACTCGATGCCCATCTTCCACGTTTTTTTCATCCCAACTTTTAGTTTTTCGTCAAGGTATTCATAACCTTATTATTATTAAAGAAATGCTGATAATTTATGATACTGTTCCAGGTTTCCTCACTGCGATAAACTGCATCAGCGTCCGCTGGGCGATGGCTATCCAGAACATCTTCACGACCGCCAAGCTGCTTGCGTTGGTTTCGATAATCCTCGGGGGAATGGTCCACATCTGCCTTGGTATGTTTCAAACTATTAAGTCATTATTTATTTAAAAAATCTTTTTTTATTCTATATGTAACTGTTTATGTTTTATTTTTGTAAATTTTTTTTTTGTCTATAAAATATGTATTTGCGCATGTCAACTTATTGTTGACAATCACCAAATGTGATAGCGATACATGAAATAATGATATGACAGGCATGGGGAAGGAAAGTACTCAGCAGTACCTCTTCCCTAACTTGTTCCAATTACTTAGGTTGTCTAAGGAAGGAGATCCCTCATCCAACGCCTTTTCAGTCTCCTGCTCATGTTCTGAGGTATGTCAGCTATGGCCATGTCTCTTGTTAGTCTGTTATTGTGTCCATTTAAATTATTGTGAAATCTTTGATAAAGGGTCGTTATATGTTGGTCAACTGTTGGAAAGTGGAGGTCAGTATGTAGAGTTTTGTTAGACACGTACCAAGGTGCTTTTGTTATAAGTCGCAATAATTTTGATTGGAACGTTTGAAGTTTTTGTAGTTGGGTCTTTTTAGCGATGCCGTATATTAGTGATGGAGTATATCCATATGGGCTTAAGTAAGTATGTATATGAATTCAGTTTCAGTTTTAGTTTTGAAGATTTAGAAAAAAGAGAGTAAAGTAGTTTGAGTCGTTTGTTAAGTGTCAATTCACCAATATTTAACAAATAAGGATCCATTTTTTCATCTCAAGAATATATAAACAATAATAATTTCTTTATCAACAATAAAAAAACTTTTATTTGGTTATATCGTACATATTGGTAACTTTTCGGTCATTTCGGCAATTTTCATTCATTTTCTTATAAACATCTCTACCACCTGTACTGTAATTTTTATGGCTATTTTTAATTTCACTTACGTATATATGTAATATATAGTAAGGGTAAGTATTGCGATCGTGAAAATTTATGAATCTGAGTTTTCAACGGAAATACACGTTTTGGACTACCCTGAGTCGAAATAACCAAGTCCCGAAAAATGGTCTGTGTGTCTGTATGTTAGCAGTCTAGCTCAAAAACGAAAAGTCGTACAAAACTCATATTACGTATTTAAGATAGGTATATACCTTAGATGTGACAGCAACGTTTTACTTGAAATCGGCTAACCGGAAGTGCCACTTTATATCAACGCTAAAAAAAAATTTTACAATTTCCTAAAAAATGGTCCTAATGATTTTGATTAAACTCGGTGTATCATCGTATAATAGATAGGTCTTTAATATAAATCAGGTTTAATCGCCATTGATGTCAATTTACAATGCTTAAATGACCAATGTTCATATACGCTTTTCTCTAAAGTATCTTTAATATGGTTTATTTTGAATAATTAATCATCTCACATTATTTAGAGTTACGAAAAAATGCTAAACACAACTTTTGAAACAATTTGATAAGTGAATAAAAGAGAAAAAAAATAAAAATGCTTATCCAGGTCGAAAATGAATCTCCGAAAATACTTGTCAGGAGGTATAGGTATAATATATCGTTGGAAAGCGAAGAATTTTAGAAAAACAATATTCAATATATAAAGTTGTAGAAGGTAAGGGAGAGTAGGAAAAAAATTTTTGATTGAAAAAAATTAATAATTTTTGAAAACTGATAATATTTAATGTAAATCTCATGTTTTCAAGGAAATTAAATGAAATTTACTAACTAAATGTAAACCTTTAAAATATTTATAAGTTTGATAAAGTATCTAAATTCCACCTAACCATGGCAATGACATTGTTAAAAAAACTATTTCATAGTACTTGTGTGAAAAAAGAAGTAAAATATAAAATCATTTCATGGATGTACAAAGCATATGTTTATAACCTTCAATACATTTACTGTAGTTTAGTGATTATAGACCTGATATTATATTTAAATATTTAGCGATATATCGTCCGTTTATTCCGAAAAATCATCATGTAACCTTTTAGAATATTAAATTAGTGAATAGTTTGATGAAATTTCCTTTTGTGATAATCCAACAGTATTCACTTACAGTTAGTGTGAAAACTTTTGACCTGTCTAGGACAGACAATGCAAATCTCTTAGTTCCGTTTTAGTAAACTTTGCAATGGAAAATAACAGTTTAATAACTAATAGCCGTACAATCCATAATCAACGGATCCTACAATCCATAATCAACCGGTGATATAATAAATAGGTCTTTTGTTATTTTAATGGTATCTATGATTTGTTATCTGTAATCTTTTAGCTTTAGTTCAGTTAAAGATGCAATTCAAAAATTTTATAATAGCCCAACATAGCCAGAAAATAATTTCTATTCAAAGTTGACCGGTAAGTGAAAGTTGTGTGTTGCGCGCACTTTTTAATACAAGATTACATGAAACAAGATATCTTCCTTTATTATATGAAAAATGGTAATCACTTTCTTGCGGCTAATAGATAAGTCGGGTCAAGTGAATTTGAATAAATATAAAAAAAAACTTTTACGACTAATCTTAGTCAAGATTATCTTTTTAATTTTTTTTTTTTTTTTTATTAACAGAATACTTGAAAAACTTGTTTTTCTATAGATTTTGTTTTTCAACTTCCCAAAAGTTCAAATTTTTTAGGCTTGTTCCTAATAGGCCTCAACATTTTTTGTTTAGAACTTGAAGGTTACACGTGTTAGTATTCTACGTTTAACTTCTTATCTTAAAATGACATTTACTATAGAAAACCTAAATAATGAAAAAAAAAACGATCTAAACAAGATAATGATGTATTTTCTATTTTATTTTATTATTTTTTTTATACTTATTGAGAGATATTACAATCTGTTACTAATAAGAACATTTATAATAGTGTGCAGAGAACAAGTTCATGCTCTATCAACAGCAAATAATACAGAAACACAATAATGCTAAAAGTAAATGAATATAACCGTAACTAAACAAAAAGAAACAAAACTAATAAAAATAATTACCCACATACACACATGCTTCGATTTTTAGAAAAATTTTCTTAGCTTAAACTTTTCATCAAGTTACTGTTTTAACATCCAACATCACCAATAGTTTACCTAAGGAAACCTCACTATGAATTTTACTTTTTTATAGACATAGTTTAACACTATGTGAAACTATAACCACCTTAATTTAAAAAAAAAACGCTGCAAATTATTTCACAGTGGTTTATTATTTCCAAACAATTATACATCTAAAGTAACATTACCTTCCGAGTTACAAAGAAAAATAAACAAAAGGTGATTCCAATTATTGGACTAAACTGTTTTTCTTTAATCATTAGTAATATGCTATAAAAAAAACTGGCATTAGTTCAGTAACACATTCAAAATTTAAAAACCAAACCAAGGATATAACATTTGGAGTAGAACATATTAACAAAAACCGGAGACCATATCTTTGCTCCTAATTGTCCGATTTTAACGATTTTTTTTTTTTTAGAAAATTTCGTAAATTTTCAAAAAACTAAAACAATATCAACAAAAAGTGAAAGCTTTTCGAGTTATTCGAAATTTAATTTTACCATCCCTCGTAACTTTTTTTCCAGCATCTTTTAGTTGAAGTATGTTGTATAGATAAATTTAAAGGGTGTCGAGAAAATGACTTTAGCGAAGCTTCATTGAAATCGGTACATTCGTTTAGGAGCTACAGTCTATAGCAACGCAGGTTTTTTGGCCGCCATTTTGAAAGTTAAAGGCGGAGAGTAATGTCGATGAAGGAGGATCATCCTCGGGTGACCTCTGATTTTATATCAAAATTTGAAAAAAAAAATCGGTCCAGTAGTTTCAGAGAAAATGGGCGGACGGACAGAAAAATTTTTATTCGTTTTTCGAATTCTACGCGTCCTGAAACGTGAAACCTCAAATCTTGAGAGGGGGTTAAGTTTTTGAATTTTTTGTTCGATCACAATGGTTGGTTATTGAAAATAATAAACAAAAAAACGAAGGTAAATTAGCTTCAATTAGATTAGCTTTTCATTTAATATTGAAGTATATAATATTGAATATTGAAGTTTATCATTTTGAGAATTCACTTGACGTTATGATTTTTTTTAATGTAAAGTAAAGCACGGCCTGCTAGATCCAACTACTCCTATCAGAGAATTAAGTGTATAATAAATCAAAAGTAAAAACAACTGCACATCGTTGCAATAAAAAAAAAAAAAATGGTCGGGAAAAGATTAATTTTTTTTCTTCCTACCTTAGAAAAAAACCCCGGAAAAATAGATTAAAAAATAAACCAGACGATCAGTATTTAATATCGATCATTCGCTGAAGTGCTCTGATAAAATTTAAAAGCACTTCATTAAATGGCTTTATCTTGATCAGAAAACAAATATTTACATCAGTTTTATTTCTATTTTTTTCTTATATGCATTATTGCAAACAATATAAATATATAGTCTGTGTTGCAGACCCCTTTTCATCAAATTGTTAATATCCTTTTTCGTCAATAGCTTCATCTCACCGTGACCTCATAATAATTCACCGTAAATATTTTATTTACGAAAATTCTCGGAATCGGGGTTTTTCAATCTGGAGGTCTTTAAACTTTGTCTATTTAATTAGGTACTAAAAGCTCGTAAATACCCACTTGCTTTCTAATTGGATCGTAAAGATGGCCTACGAAAATATAGGGCCGTTTGGCCTATATAACTTCGTTATCTTGGCAATTTGGAGGTGTAGGTCACGCTCCAAATTTTTTAAGGCCACCTTTTTTTCTGAATTTGTGCTCAAGTTATCTTTCGATTCAAGTGGAAAGCAAACGTTTATTTACGAGTTTTTAGTACCTAATTAAATTGAGAATGTTTGCCGATTTCCAGATTGAAAATTCCCCAATTTACAGAATTTTCGTAAATAAAATATTTGCAGGTTACGATGAGATTAAGCTATTTACGAAGTTTCAGGCGGATGTTAATAATTTGATAAAAAGGGCTCTGTACCACGGACTAATAGCAATTTTTAAAATTTCACAAGTAACAATTTTTTATAAATATTTATTTTTAAATTGATTTATAAGCGAAAATACACAGAAGTGCCCA